AATAGTGATTTGCCTCTGATCATCACGAAAAGGTCATCAGTCCTAAAATTGGTTGGACACGTACATCCACTTTTTCCTATCCTGAGCTAATCTTCGCATTTCCTCCAAACCAGAACAACCCACACCCTTAATTATTTGCGAACAGTAATCTAAACTAGGTCTACCTCTACCCCGTCTAACTCCTCTTTGTGCCTCTAATATATCTTTGACTAGTCCTTCATGTCTGAGAAGGTGTCCCACTTCCATAGAGTCAGTCCTCTGTTCTCCTATTCTTTCTAATATCTTTTCATTTCTAACCTTCTCTATCCATGGTATCCTCATCATTCGCCATTGCAAGACAATCATGTGATTTTTTGGGCTCAATAAAACAAGTTGTAGCTTTCATATTTTCTGCGATAGGGTAAATTCACTAACTACAATGCGGTTGCGTTTTTCATTCAATCAACATTTTTATCAATGAATACATCATTTATTTAAGTATTCCGATGTTCCAGTTTTCTTATGTGGATTTTCGATCGTTGGAGTCCGTACAGTTACCAAAATAACAGAGAAAAATACAAAGACGACGAGGAAAAAAGGGAATTCGACTTAAAGGAATGCTTATGGTTCTGTATGACTTCTTTAACACCCCAAGGAGGAGGTGAAGCGCCAAAGAATCTATCGGGACGATTTGTAGCAGCCACTTGGTGGTTATTTGGCTTTATTATAATTGCTTCGTATACTGCCAATTTAGCAGCGTTTTTAACCGTTTCTCGATTGGATACTCCCATCGAATCTCTTGACGACTTATCGAAACAATATAAAATCCAATACGCACCCACGAAAGATTCATCCACGATGACTTATTTTGAACGAATGGCTAACATTGAAGATCGATTTTTTGAGTAAGTACATTACTAAATTCATTATTAAATTCCTATAGATTACATTAACTAAGGATAAGCAATTATGAGGTGAAGATTTCTTTAATTAAAATATATAATCAAACGCCAACTTTTACCTTAAGATGAAGAAGCCTCTTCAGGGTAAGATTGTAAGATCAGAAAATAAATTTTTTGTAGGTGTTGCGGAAGATATTTTTCACCCTTAACTAATAATCTAATTTTTTTAAAATAATTAACACAAAAAATTGAATACAAGACAACAAACACACTTTAAAAGAATAAATAAAATAACGTTTGTCTCATTTTTAGAATATGGAAAGACATGAGCTTGAATGACAGTTTAAGCGATGTCGAACGTGCTAAACTGGCTGTATGGGATTATCCTGTGAGCGATAAGTACACAAAAATGTGGCAGGCTATCAAAGAAGCTGGAATGCCAGCAACGTTGGAGGAAGCTGTTAAAAGAGTACTACAATCGAAATCGTCCAGCGAAGGATTTGCTTACCTAGGTGATGCGACTGACATAAGGTTTCTCGAACTTACCAACTGTAATCTGCAAATGGTTGGAGAGGAATTTTCTAGAAAACCTTATGCCATTGCTGTTCAACAAGGCTCTCCTTTAAAAGACCAATTCAATACAGCGTAAGTACTAAATATTACTATTCAAACTCTAAAGCCTGTCTGTATTCTTATACATATCCCCCTGAAAAAAATGCAGTTTATTAAATAAAACTTAATGCTCGTCTTTTCAAATCTTTTGCGAAACTCTTTTAAGAAAGTGATTGGTATTTCAGTTGAAATAAAAGAAAAATAGTTCAAAGTAATAGTTACTTCAATGAAAATTCATTGAGGTTTTATGAAGGAGAACAAAAGCTAAATAAAGCACAACAAACAGTACCTCCACGTAAAAAAGTGTTTTGAAACCGAAGGTCATCCTCAGTTACAAAAACTCATATCCTAGAAAAAAATTGTCTACGTTTTCTAAGAAGTATTCTTTGACGTGCCGAATATCATGTCCAAATTACCAAAAGATATATCAAAACTAGACAAATTGGTCACAGACCAAAAATACCCAGAACGCCTAGTGAATTTTGCTAAATAAACCCTTTTTCGGTTACGGTTTTTGAACCCATCAAAGATACGCAATCATTCCCATTATCTATAGGCAACAAAAACGAAGGGAGTCAGACAGGGATGCACACTCTCACCGCTACTTTTTAATCTATAATCGAAGACGCGATCAACATCATTAAAGACAGTACAACTGTAGGGATAGATATACAGGGACAAAAAATTAGTATGCTTAAATTTGCAGATGATATAGCAGTGTTAGCATCTAGTAAGGAGGACCTAGAGATAGCTTTAAATAAAATGGAAGCGGTACTGACAAAACAGTACTGTATGAAAATAAATAAAAATAAAACATAAATACTGGTATGCAAGGGAAGAAAAAGTAGGGAAAGAGCGAATATGAAGATAGGAGACGAAAAATTAGAAGTGGCCGATTTTAGGTATCTAGGAAGTCAGATAAGTCAGGACGGAAGGAGCAGTAGGGATATAAAACAGAGGATAGCGCAGGGTCGAGCCGTCTTCAATAAAAAGAAGTCACTTCTATGTTCACGAACGGTTAATTTAGAAATTCGAAAAAGACTGTTAAAGGTATACGTTTGGAGCGCGGCGTTGTACGGGTGCGAAACATGGACAGTGGGCACGGCGGAAAAGAGAAGGTTAGAAGCGTTCGAAATGTAGTATTACAGGTTAGAAATTATGAGGTATTAGAAAGAATAGGAGAACAGAGGACTCTATGGAAGTCAATAAGAAATAGGTGAGATAGGCTGATAGGACACCTTCTCAGGCATGAAGGTCTTGTCAAAGATATATTAAAGACAGAAATTGGAGTTAGGATGGGTAGAGGTAGGCCTAGATTAGATTACTGTTCCCCAATAGTTAAGGATGTGGGTTATTCTAGTTTTAGGGAAATGCCAAGATTAGCTCAGGATAAGAAAGAGTGGAGGTGCGTGTCCAACCAATCTTAGGACTGATGACCTTACGATGATTAGTTTATCGGTGCTTTGTTACTAATAATGTGTGCCAATGAAAATCTATCTACATCTATTAGTTTCTTGTAATTTCCGATTTATTCGCATGTAATTTTGTTACTATTTTTTGTAGAATTCTGACGCTTCTCAACAAAAGACAATTAGAAAGATTAAAAGAAAAATGGTGGACAAACAACCCCAAAGCAAAGAAGTGTAAAAAACAAGACGATCAATCGGACGGCATTAGCATCCAGAATATTGGAGGAGTGTTTATTGTCATATTTGTGGGAATCGGCTTGGCTTGTATCACATTGGCATTTGAATATTGGTGGTATAAATACAGGAAGAACGCAAAAATTATCAATGTGCAAGAAACAAATCCGAAGAAGCCCCACCAACAAACTAAAATAAAAGTAAAAGAGCATGCAGATACCTCGAAACTAAACAATAGCGAAGATAATAAATTCAATAGTTCACATCTTAGATCACGATTTTAATGATTTGTGAAAAGTAGCTATAACTTTGCTTAGATAAAAATTCCTCCAGTTTAAACTTTAACGTAAGTTTTATTCATATAGGCATTTACCCATTACCTACAGAAACTTTTAACGCAATAAGTGTGGATAACATTCAATTATAATAAACTTACATTGTACAGCCTGTAATTGTAATTGTGTGTCTTAATAAAACTGATTACAAATATAACGCAGATTTTATTATTTTTAAATTGGGAAAGAATATTAATTGCATTTTATTTGTCATGTGCTTCCCTGATATACTTATAAATGCCAAATCAAGAGAGCAACTAATCTTTGTTATTATTGTTTTGTTAAAAAATTCTGTTTCCCTTTAAATTGTTTGGATGGCTAATTGCTAATGAATTTAATGACTGATGTTCGTCAACGTGATGTAATGTACAGTACGTTGCACTTTCTGCATTATCGCTATCTATTGTACATGACTAGTATAATCTAGTAAACAATTCTTGAAAAAATACCAAATTATTGCAATCAACGCCATTGTAATTGTTCTATCCTTGCATCCCTAGCATCGTAAAAGTGAGTAATATATTACAAATCAAGGACGGATAACGCCCCTTCAGACGTGGATTGTGATTTTGATCCGTTTGGATCTCATCGGCACACCAAACCACTTCCGTATGTGGACGAACCGGGGGATTTTCCTTCTACCTGGTCCCCTCCTTCCTTTTACTCTCTGCTTTGTAAGAACAGTTGCAATAGGCGGTATTTCACAAGATTTCTCATAATATAATCCAAGTACTCCAGCTTTCGTTGATGGTTGACAATTCATCCTCCTAATGACCTCTTCGTTGGAAATCCCGTCAATCCAGGAAATGTTTAAGATTCGTCTATAAATCCACATTTCAAAACACTGGAATCTTTTTTCTGTTGCTTCAAACTTTCAGTTTCGGCTCCACCGCTATCTGAGAAATTGCAAACGTTTCTAAATTTTCAAAACTGAGCCTACTCTAACGTTGGTACCATACTTTGAATAATAAATCGGAATATCAGTGGCATATTAGCAAAATTAGTTTGTATTGGAATCCAAGTGTAAATGTTTATTACTCACTGATAAATATCTATTATTCCCTTTAGTCTTGTCACGACACACTAATTTTCAAAATTGCAGTATAAAACCCAATCGCTCAAACTACGCTTTTATATGGGTAGTAGTTATCAATATTGCAATTAAATTTCAAAACCAAAGTCATGTTTATGAAGTTAACTCACATTTTAATTGACGTATGTACTTTTCTAGTAACTATTGCTAATTTGGGAGGTACTGAAAGTCTTACAGTATGTAAGTTACGCTTCTCATTATCAAAAATTGCACTAATTCTACATCTTTTTATTTTTTGAGTGCATATTAATGAGAGGCAGAATCATGTGGCGAAAAATGCAGTTCAAGCAGCTCTTGAATATATTTATAGAAATAAAAGCTATAATCTAAAAGTTGATTACCAATACGTGGAAGCAAATGTCTCGAATGAACATAGCATTTTAAAATCAGGTAAGTTTCAATTTATTACAATAAATGATAATGATACGGCCTGGCTTCTCCGAAGTCACTTGAGTTTATTTTACCCGCTTTAGCGTTTTTACTATAGATGTCGTGCATGCGTGTCGACGAAACGTTGAGAGCAAACACGGTGGTTAAAAAGTCAGAAAACTGACAATAATAATAATCTATTGTATTGCACACTCCTATAAAAGCAGATTGTGCAATTTGTAAATTATTTTAAAAACAATTTTGCCTGAATATGACACAATAATTGTTTCAAAATGTCGGGATTCTAAGATACCTTAACCCAGGGTTTCTTAAGCCTTACATGGCTTCCTTTCTAAAGTCATTCGTTCATAATAATCAATACAAAAATTGGCCTGTCTAACTAAAGACTTCTGAAGGCTCTTTTTGCGCTTTTTTTTACTATAATTGGGGTCAGATTTATTCAGACTTCAATAGCATTGGTGTTTCCTTGGCTTTAACATTTTTAGTTGCCTGTCAACTTACACTGCAAAACGAGTTAGTACAAGGCGACTATGTTCATCAAGGTAGAGTTCTTAAAAACGAATGAAATTGTATTTGCTTTGGCTTTAAGCCTAGGGTATCTCGAAATCTTTAATCAGCTAAGGAAATCTGAGGCTTGATTCAGATACTGTGAACGACAAAGTACACGAATGACGACAAGAAATGTGTTTGGAGGGTCAAAACGCTTGTATCTTGGATGCTTGGTCATGCTCAAACTTCGAATCACATACCAGTGCAATGTAAGCTCCTGAATCCTTACTTCTTAGATGGTTTGCCGCTTGGCGAATCCGAAAATTTACAGTTGGAACGACCGTGTAACTACCCTTCAACTCCTACCAGTGGAACCCAAACCACAATTAATATCGGGTTGTTCGGAAAGTCATTTCGTTTTTTCCCGACAGAGGATTTAATTGTATTCTTTTGCACCCAATTTCACTTTTAAGCCGTATAATTTTTATATGCTTTGAGAGCTCATATAGCAGGGCTTGTATGTGAAAAATTCCAATTAATTCTACGCAGTAGTTTTTGGTTGGTGCCCTTTTAAATATGGAGAGCGATAAGCAGCATTTTCGACATATCTTACTGTTTTACTACAGAAAGGGTAAAAATGCTGTTCAAGCCAGAAAGAAATTGACTGATGTGTATGGAGAAGGTGTGTTGACAGTACGCCAGTGCCAGAACTGGTTCGCTAAATTTCGATCCGGCAATTTTGATGTCGAAGATGCACCACGTTCGGGAAGGCCGGTTGAAGCTGATAAAGACGCGATAAAGGCATTAGTTGATGTGAACCGGCGAATAACAACACGTGAGATCGGATTGAGGTTAAATTTATCAAATTCAACAGTTTATGACCACTTGAAAGGCCTGGGATTATCCTCGAAGCTCGATGTATGGGTTCCCCATGTTCTCACAGAGAGAAATCTGTGTCGCCGCATTGACGTCTGCGATTCGCTTCTCAAACGTCACGAAAATGATCCGTTTTTGAAGCGCATCATCACTGGGGACGAAAAATGGGTTGTATACAACAACGTCAAACGCAAGAGGTCATGGAGCAAAAAAGATGAACCGGCTCAAACCATTTCCAAAGCCGATATTCACCAAAAAAAGGTGATGCTGTCTGTTTGGTGGGATTTTAAAGGAATCGTTTTTTTTGAGCTTTTACCGGATAACACAACGATTAATTCGGAAGTCTACTGTCATCAGCTGGACAAACTGAATGATGCACTTCAACAGAAAAGGTCAGAACTAATCAACAGGAAAGGTGTAGTGTTTCACCAAGACAACGCGAGACCTCACACAAGTTTGGTCACTCGCCAAAAGCTTTTACAGCTTGAATGGGATACAATGCTACACCCACCATATTCTCCAGACCTGGCACCATCGGATTATTATTTGTTCCGGTCACTCCAAAATTTTTTAGACGGTAAAACCTTCACCTCAAATGAGGAGGTCAAAAACCTCCTCGGTCAGTTTTTTGCCAGCAAAGACCAAAAATTTTATGAGCGTGGAATTATGCTACTACCAGATAGATGGCAAAAGGTGTTGGACCAGACCGGTCAATATATAATTTAATAAAGTATTTGTTTATTATACGAAAACTGTCTTTCATTTCCCCAAAAAAAAAAACGAAATGACTTTCCGAACAACCCTATAATTTCCCTGCACGTTTCTTTGCATTCGTAAAAGCTCACGTGACAATCTATCCGAAACCATCAGTACTTTTAGCATTACAACAAGAGGCGAAATGTTTGCATCGAAATAAAAAACCTTACAACCCTCATTGGCTCTAATTCTCTACTCATACTCAATGAAACTAAGGGAAAGAAACTGAAAATACTGTAACAAATCCTAAACCAAAAGTCGTCAAGTTGTCATTCAACCTTTTTGAACTGTTTTCTTATCATTCATGAAACTCGAATTAAGTGTATAATAATCAGTTGTTACAATCATTATAGCGAAACCAATTCCTCAAAATATAGGATAAACAAGACCGAATGGGTTACCTAGAAATACCGGTTTATCGTTAGTGTAACGAGCTTACCCTCCGTTCTACCTGGGGCCTATCGAGTAACTACCCAAACTGCTAATATTCTAAATATTATCTTATATTATTAGCTTTCAAATTTTTTTTGTTCTATCGTCTTTTTCTATTCTTTTAAACTTACCTTTAGGGAAGCGTTTCCTTAGGATCTCGTCCCTATTATTTTTTTATAGTAGATATTTAGCAGTAGCATTTTTTTTGGCCGGTCAACTTATCTCCTTTAATTTTCGACGTAGAACCACGATTCTTTTTTTTTAACCCCACCTAGCCACCCACGGAGATTTCAGTACCCGTGTCGGTTTTTTTGTTCTCCTTCAGGAAGGTAGTTTTTTTTTTGGAAAATTAATTTGCGCCCTTTCTGCTACCACCCCACTTTCGACCCTACCTTTTCATCCCCACCGAAGTACAGGAGTCTGTATAAAAAGGCAAACCCCCGAAGCAAGAGCACAAAAAAACCCACCACATCAGAGGTGGACCACCTACTCCCGTTTCCTCCCCAATACTCCCGTCCACCAACACTTTTAGCCGATTTCCCATCTCAACCCTACCCTTAATCCCCAGCTTTCCACTTGTCTCCCGAGGATGAAAAATCCACAGGGTTTACCTCCCCGCTCCAGGAGGGGTTTTAATCGGTAAAAATCCGACACTACCCCCCCTCAGGGGGTGTCTTTTGAAGATTTCCCCTCCTCGAGCATAATCTAAACAAAAAAAAAAAGCAAGAGCACGATTCCGACATTCCACCTACCCAGGCAAGGAAGAGGGAATCAAATCGTACCAACTAGACTTACTCACCCGCAGTAAGTCCATGTGAAAAGTGCTCTTGTTCCGCTCCGCCAAAAACCGTAAGTTTTCACCCGTTACGTTCACCATTGTGCTTATTGGACTCAGTCATTTTAGTTATAAGTATTTGTATCTTCTTGTTTTTATGGTATTTTGTTTTCTTGTCCTGTATATTTGTTTATTTCTGTCAAGGGAG